TAGGCTAAATTGCTTTTCTATATCAGTATGACAATATTCAGTCAGTTTACAGTTCATGTTTGCTGGTACCCTACAGTGCATGTGCATAGCTGCAACTATGTGCTAACCTTGGAGCAATAAATAAATAAATAAAAAAAATCAGTAATGATCATAAATGTCAGAATGGCCTCAAATAAACCAGAAGAACCTGGCAAGCCTGTTCCTGTCCACAATCCAACATGTGGAAACTTTCACTTCCTTTTTTTTTTTTTGCTCTGAGGTGGGATCAGTGTTTTGTTTTATGAACAGCAGATTCAGATTTATGTAAGTGTTATTCAACAGCTGAATTCCAGGTTAAAGAGAAGATTTCTGCAGAACCCTCACATCTTAGTCAAAAACAGTTTGAACTCCTCCCCTCTGATCGGTACTACAGGTCACTGCACGCCAAAACAACAAGACACAAGGACAGTTTCTTCCTCTGGGGTCGTTACACTTGATGAACACTTAACCCATGACTGTAAAACAGAACAACAACCCTCAGTGCAATACCTTGTAAATATCTATCTGAAAAACTGTATCTGAACTGTTTGTTTATATATTTCTCTAAGTATTTTATTTTTATTTTCTTAATGCACATTCCTTTTTCTTGTTTGCACATTCTTTTTTTTTTTTTTGTTCTCTCAGTCTTATCTTGTTTACTCGTTGCCTTATGGAAGAACATTGTAAATACACACTGAGAGCCACTGTACCAGAGTCAAATTCCTTGTGTCCAACACACCTGACCAATAAAGCAGATTCTACTGTATATCCATTATAACCACTTAACTGAGTGGGAATATGTTTGTCACATTTCCCCCCTGTAATCAGCCACTATGTGTCTTTTGCAGCCTTGTCCAAAGGGAATAAACCAGTGCACACCATCCTCTTGAACCCACATGTGCATCTAATTGGAGAAAATGCAGCGTGCATCGCCTATATTCGACTGACCCAGTACATGGATAGCAGCGGCATGCCCCGCACCATGCAGTCTGAGGAGACCCGTGTGTGGCATCGTCGTGATGGCAAGTGGCAGAACATCCATTGTCATCGTTCCGGCTCGCCCAGCATCCCCTCCCAGTAAGAGACACACAGCAAAAACTTTGATTAGAGATTAAACTAAACTACATGAACAGACACTCAAATACCTTTTTTTTTGCTGACATCCAGGGGTCAAATTCATTTTGCTCCAGTGATGTAGAAGTGTACCCCAGGGTGTGTTCAGTACACCATTACATCACTGTTGTGTGTGGCTAGGCTGTGATTAGATAATCAATGTCTGGTGGAGGAGCTCAATCAATTGAATGATCAATAGAAAGATTCTTTAAGAGTCTTTAAGTCTTCCCTATAAGCCCGGCAGCTGTTTTGGGGATTTAAATCGACGGCGCCTCCCCGAAATAAAATGTGTATATCTCCGCAACCACACGGTATATTTGGTTACTCTTGGTGTCAAACGAAAGGGAACACTTGTGAGATTTGTCAGGAGGTGTAAATACCTTTCGATGTTTTGTTTTTGAAGAGTAAATAAAGATGGAACACGGCACAGCCAGAGCTGACGCTCTCAATAGCTTGGTCCCAGATTTCCGCATACAGACAAAAGACCCCTCATTGGATTCCTCTCGACCTATAGAATGCGGCTATCGAGTTTGTGACCTTATTGACAGCATCGTGGACCAATGGCAGTCGATAAGACCGCACCATGGGGGGGAGGGGGGTTTCTGGCCAGCACCAATGTAAACCTGTTTCTATCCAGC